GCTCATTCCCTGAATGGATTAGAAATTCCCTATCTACCCTACTTGCCTAGCACAGGAAAGAAAGCTTTCTCTGGTAGATGATACTATCATCTGGATCCTTAGCAGTCTTTCGTATACATCATCCAACATGCAACAAAAAGTTACTAGACATGCAGGAAGACAAGATCATATGATTAGAATCAGGAGAAAAATAAATAGATAATAGATGCAGAGCAAAGATGATCCAGATATTAGAGTTAGCATCAAGGATTTTAAAATAACTGTGATTAATATGAAGGAGCCTCGGTGGCACAAGTGGTTTGCAGTCAGCTGCTAACTTAAAGGTTGGCAGTTTGAACCTACCTAGTGGCTCTGCAGAAGAAAGACCTAGCAAACCGCTTCCGTAAAGATTACAGCCAAGAAAACCCTGTGGAGAAGTTCTACTCTGTAACACATGAGGTCACTATGAGTCAAGGGCCAACTTGACAGAAGCTAACAACAATATGATTAATATTTTCAAGGAAATAGGGAAAAAATGGACAAAATATAGGAAAGGAAGGAGAATATCTACAGAGACTTAGCATTTTTTAAAAAAGAATCAAATGAACATTCTAGAACAGAAAAATACAATGTCTGAAATTAAGAACTCAGTGGTTGGGTTAACAGCAGATTGGAAACATCAATAGCCAGGATTACTCAGTAGAAAATACCCAAACTGAAGCACAGAAATAAAAAAAAAAAAAAAACAAAAAACAAAAAACAGATGAGTGTAAAACATGTTGGACATACTCAAAAGGTCTAGCATATGTGCAATTAAAGTTCCAGAAGGAGGAAAGGGAGAATGGAGCAGAAGCAATATTCATGGAGAAGATGGTAAATAATTTTTCAGAAAACTGATGTATTTTCAAAAATTGATGAATTCACAGATTTAAGCAGCTGAACAAACTTCCAAGCAGGATAAATACAGATTTAGTTCTATGACTCAGTTAATCATTACTTTGCAAGTAGTACATCTATTAGCTTTTTAACCGCTTGCTAGTTTTATGACCGCCAACAAGTCACTTGATCTGTAAAATGGGGATTAGATGAAAGACTATGTGAAAAAGTGACTTAGAAACTGTTGAATTCTATAGAAATATCAGAGGACATCACTCTTATTATTCCTGGTGACTGACTCTGGGGTGGCCTGTTTGGGGTGAGCTTGAGAGGTGTGTCCCATATTCTGGTCAACCTTGGTTCACTGCTCTCCAGTGAGGGCTGACCCAGGGCATAGGTCTACTGTGAAGGCAGCAGAGAGATTTGAATTAAACCTTCTGTATTGGTCTGGCAATTGCTTTGCCTCCCAGGATCCTCGTAATTGAGGGATGACCAGGGTTGGGTTTCTGAAATCTTGTGACCCATTCTGATTTAGCTCCGAACCACATCTAGTTGATTTCACCGTTTATCAATCTTGCCTGAGCTGATCCAGAACCCAGCCAACCTCCAAGTTTTGGGGGACCCCCAGAAGCATTCCCCTGTACTTGCCCATGGTTTAGATCTACATTTTCCACACCCACTCCCTAACCCCCATTTCTTGATAGTGTCCAGTGACAGCAGGAAGAGTACTTTACTAACTGTGTTGCATTAACTTATCTGGAAAACACTTGATGAAGTGTTGTGTCCTAACTCACATGGGCATTGGTAATATGGAAGAATTATCATAGAGGAAGGAAAAGCAGCCTGGGCTGCAGTGAAGGCATCAGTGCTTCGTAGATAGTAGAAGAGAGGTGATGTATTTGTGGTTTTTCTTATGTATAAAATAAGGAGCAGCATAATATAGATGTTAAAAATACAGGTTTTAGAGTCAGACAACCTGGGTTTTCATCTCTAGTTTCATCTGCTACTTACCAGCTGTGTTACCTGGAGCAAGTTACTTTAACCTTCTGAACCTCAGTTTCTTCTTCTGTGAGATGAAGATAAGTCATACTTCATAGGCTTGGTGTGAGGTTTCAGTGAACTAATATAAGGTAAGCACTCAATAAGTGCTCAATAGATAGTAATTGCTATTAATATTAACTTTAAAAAATTATTTTACCAGCTAAGCTAAGGTTTATTCTTGAGTTAATGTCTCATTAGCAAACTCACTAGGCTGTCATATATTGCAATTTGTTATTAGTGACAATTGTAACTTACTGCCTAGATCCCTTTTTTAATTAAGATAAGGACCTGTGTCCAGAAGGTCTGTCCTTTAGCAAAATAACTGACTGAAGGAAAGTGGTAGAGACGAGTCATGGATTGAATTGTGTCCTTCAAAAATATGTGTATTAATTTGGTTAGGCCATGATTCCCAGTATTGTGTGGTTGTCCTACATATTGTGATTGTAATTTTCCTATGTGTTGTAAATCCTAATCTCTGCCTGTGGTTAATGAGGCAAAATTAGATTATATTAAAGAGGATTAAGGTAGGATTGTAACATCCTTACTAACATCACATGCCTGATCCAGTGTAAAGGGAGTTTCCCTGGGGTGTGGCCTGCACCACCTTTTATCTTCAAGAGATGAAAGGAAAGTGAGCAGAGGGAGGGGGACCTCATACCACCAAGAAAGCCGCACCAGGAGCAGAGTGCACCCTTTGCGCCTGAGAAGCTCTTTGATCGGGGGAAGATTGAGCACAAGGACCTTCTTCCAGAGCCAACAGAGAGAGAAAGCCTTCCCCTGGAGCTGGCGCCCTGAATTTGGACTTGTAGCCTACTAGACTGTGAGAGAATAAACTTCTGTTTGTTAAAGCATCCATTTGTGGTATTTCTGTTATAGCAGCACTAGATAACTAAGACACATCTAAACCAAAAATCACCAAACAATATGCAGGTAATTGAAGTTTATACCAAGGAAAGTAAGACCTATGCCATTCAAAAACATTTTTTCCTTTGTTTGTTTTATCGGTTAAAAGAAAAGTTCTGAGATGACTGTTGAGAATAAACGTCGCTGTAATAAGTGAAATTACTAATTACTTGCTTTAGAATATTTCCTTAGATTGCTGCTAAGCAATCTAAACCACACATATTACATGCTCAGACAATGAAAAAGTATTTGATGAGGAAGTAACCAGTGTATTATGCCACTACCCCCCATTATATAAAAATTTGAGAATCCCTTGTTTCCAAGGACATTTTTCTTGAGTGTTTCTTAGAGTCTAAGGGCTTCCAAGGATTTCTGCCAGAATGAGCTTGTTATTGATACTTTATAACACTTATCACATTGTTAGTGATTTTTTGTTTGTATATCTTTACCCTTTTCTTGACTGTGGGCAACTTAAAGACCAGGGATCTTGACTCATTCATCTTTCTTTCTTTACAGAATGCCTGATTTATAGTTAATGCTCAGTAAATGTTTGTTGAATGATTGAGTGAACCATGTGCTGTATGTCACCTGGATACGACCTTTTACTCATTCAGATCCATTCGCTATGCTTTTTCACTCTGCTCTGATCCCAGAGTGATTGACGTGCAGATTATATCAATGGGCTCTTGAGCCCTCTGTCTTCTGGCTGGGTTTGGCCAGTGGCAAGAGATCAGAAGGAGAGAGGTGAGGGTATTTATTGCCATAGTTTCCCCTTCTATGAGGTTGCCCTGTTCTGACTATCCCTCAACAAAAGTCACAGCTCTTTTCAAGGCAGCCTGCTCTACGTGACTCTTTCTTCCTCTGGGTTCTATAACCTCTCCATCCCTCATCCATTTAGGCCAAGGAGTGGTGACAGCTAGCTTCTAGTTTCCCTACACCCAGCTTATACCTTTATAATTAGTCTCTTTGTAAATTAACCCCCCACAAATTATCCTAATTAGAGTAAACCTTCTCCTTCCTGTTAGGAAACAGCAGGCCCTGATTGCTTGTGGAGATTTTAAGTGATTTGAGCTGGACACTGGGGCTTCAGGTACTTAAAAAGGTACATGTGCAGTTCTTCAGAGAATGTGTGGCATAGCTAGCCGTTAAGGGCAGTGGTGCCACTAGGGAGGTGTGGACCACACTGGGTAACAGTGTCAGAGGGGGTGACACCAAAATGACTGTCTGTAAAATTTTTGTGCAGTATTTCAGCAGAAATTTGTTATTTTTATAAAAATATCCCTGTAGTTATAATAACAAAAACATTTTTCGTAAGCCCAGCTTACATGTATCAGTATACTTACAAGGCTAAAACTCTATGCTAATTTACTTTTTGAACCTTCTAATGCACTCAGGTCAGAGCTGTCATTATTATTCAGTTACAATGATACTTTCAATCACATGGTTTTATCTGCAAGCACTAAGACGTGCTGTTGTTTTTGTTGCTGCTGGTGTTTTTATAATTGCTTATTTTGTCAAATTTTCTTGTGTTTTAGCTAAAATATTATGGTAATTAGTATTTGTGAGCCTGTATCAATAACATTTTGGAGAATGAAGTAGTAATTAAAGGAAGAGAAGGAGAAAAATAAAAAAGGCTTCTGCTCAGTTACTAATAATGTTGTAATTCAATGTAGAAAGTTTCTACAAAACAATTTTGTTGTTAGCATTCATATAATATAAGAAATATTACATTTAAGCAAGTTACAACGATATTTACCACATATTACTCTGCGATTAAAATTGATAGTAAACATTACTAAGGATTCTGTATGGTCTGGTATGGGAGGAGGCCCATGGTGGGGGGTGACACCAACCCTAGTGACACTACTCATTAAGGATATCTGATGCCTGGCGGCTTTAGGGACTAAATTGCAGTTTTTGAGACTATACTTAGGAGATAATTTCTCCCACTGATAATTTGTAAGATCTTATTTTAGACTGACCGTCTGTTGTTAAGTCTCTGAAATTGCCCCTTATCGTGATTGTGTGTCTGACTCAGCCTGGAATGTGCCAGAAGAGGAAGAACTCAAGACCAAGTATAACAGGGTAAAGGATGCATGCTTTAAGTACTAGCTCTGCCAACTGAAGACTTTTTAAGGAGATAGTTTGAAGTCTACTTCAGTTTTTTTTAATGTTTCCTCTTTGGACTGTTTTTTCTGCAGGTGATCATAAACAGCACAATCACCCCGAATATGACTTTCACCAAAACGTCGCAGAAGTTTGGGCAGTGGGCAGACAGCAGAGCCAACACGGTGTTTGGTTTGGGATTTTCCTCTGAGCAGCAGCTGACAAAGGTAGTGTGGTCCTTTCCATAGTACAGTGAGCACCACATAGGATGCTGTTCTCATTCAGTAACTGCTTGATGAGGGATTGAGTTGTGCTGTTGGTGAGCAGGATTCCTTTCTGGCCTTAGCTTTCACTCCTAATGAAACTGTAGGGCTGCCAGACCAGGTACACTTTTGAAAATACCAGTTTCCTTGAAAATGGAGAAGTTGTTTGGGAAAAGGAAATTCATATCTCACAATCCTGCTTCAAAGCCTGAAGTTGCAGCATCAGGAAGCTGCTTTGCCAGGTCACTGCTTCCCCCCAAGTGTCAGCCACTGCTCCCTGGGCTCAGCGGCGTCAGGGTCCAAAGGCAGCTTGGTGGCCAAAATCAGGTCGTTTGGATTTTCAGGACTCTGAGAATTAGATGACCTTCCCATATGAGAGGATAGTTGTTGGGGGGTTGTTAACTTAAAATTTCCAAGGAACAGACCATGTTACTGCTGCCAAGGACAGTGCACCTTTGGTGAAATAAGCTTACTAAGTCTTTGAAAAGATGACACGGTTTGTCTCTGACAGCCGTCAATGTAGATAACACTCTAGCTGGAGCTCATGGAGAGAGGGAGTGAGGTGACCCAGTTTTTAACCTGGAGTCCCCAGACCCCTTAAAATGTCACACAGTGGTGTGCGTGCGTGCGTGCGTGTGTGTGTGTGTTGCTTTTTTCCTAGGGAGAAGGTTCATAGCTTTGATTAGAGTCTCAAAGTGGTCCATAACACACTTTGTGGATGGTTAGAAAGGTATGGGGAATAGATCATGGCTGACCACAGACTTGGAGAACCCCGAGAACTGAGGGGACAAACTGACCATTCCAGGGGACTTATCTAGCTGATGGATTTGAAGAGCAGAAAGCCTGTTTTAGGAAAATAGATTTCCTTTTAGGGTGGAAGAAGAGCTCTGTGTAGGTTTTAAGAATGCTTTGGTTATAAATACGACTGGTTATTTTACTTAACACGTGTCTATCATTTTGTTGTACTGTGGTGGCTTGCATGTTGCTGTGATGCTGGAAGGAAGCTATGTCATCGGTATTTGAAGTACCAGCAGGGTCATCCATGGTGGATAGGTTTCAGCAGAGCATCCAAACTAAGACAGACTAGGAAGAAGGACCTGGTGGTCTCCTTCTGAAAAAATTGACCAGTAAAAACCTTATGAATAGCTGAAGAACATTGTCTTGATGAGCCCCTCAAGTTCGAAGGCACTCACAATACCCTGAGGAAGAGCTGCTTCTCAAAGTAGAGTCAATGTGGATGGAATAAACCTTTCAGGACCTTCATTTGCTGATGTGGCACAACTCATAATGAGAATAAACAGCTGCAAACATCCATTTATAGTCAGAACATGAAATGTACAAAGTATGAATCTAGGAAAATTGGAAGTCATCAAAAATGAAAAGAAACACATAAAGATTAATAGCCTAGGCATTAGTGAGCTGAAATGGATTGGTATTAACCATTTTGATTCAGATAATCATATGGTCTGCTATGCCGGGAATGACAAATTGAAGAGGAATGGCGTCACATTCATCATCAAAAGGAACATTTCAAGATCTATCCTGAAGTACAACACTGTCAGTGATAGGATAATATCCATACGCCTACAAGGAAGAACAGTTAATATGACTATTATTCAAATTTACACACCAACCACTAATGCCAAAGATGAGAAAATTGAAGATTTTTACCAATTTCCGCGTTCTGAAATTGATCAAACATGCAATCAAGATGCATTGATAATTACTGGTGATTGGAATGCAAAAGTTGAAAACAAAGAAGGATCGGTAGTTGGAAAACATGGCCTTGGTGATAGAAATGATGCTGGAGATCATGTGATAGAATTTTGCAGGTACCTTATTCATTCAAATACCTTTTTTCAGCAACATAAACGGTGACTAGACTCATGGACCTCACTGAATGGAAAACACAGGAATCAAATCAAATACATCTGTGGAAAGAGACGATGGAAAAACTCAGTATCATCAGTCAGAGCAAGGTCAGTAGCCAGCTGCGGAACATACTATCAGTTGCTTATATGCAAGTTCAAGTTGAAGCTGAAGAAAATTAAAACAAGTCCACGAGAGCCAAAATACCACCTTGAGTATATCCCATCTGAATTTGGAGACCATCTCAAGATTAAACGACTGAACACTAATGACTGAAGACCAGTTCAGTTGCGGGATGACATCAAGGACATCATACATGAAGAAAGCAAAAGGTTACTAAAAAGACAGGAAAGACTTTGGTGAAGGGTAAGACAGTACACAATACTGGGGAAGCCAGCACAGCTTGTACAAGGCAAGGTCATGGAAGCTCCATGGACACATCCAAACTCCCTGAGGAACTGAGTTACTGGGTTGAGGGTTATGGGGACCATGGTCTCGGGGAATATCTAGCTCAATTGGCATAACACAGTTTATAAAGAAAATGTTCTACATTCTGCTTTGGTGAGTAGTGTCTGAGGTCTTAAAAGCCTGTGAGAAGCCATCTAAGATACTCCACTTGTCTCACCCCTTCGGGAGCAAGAGAGAATGAAGAAAACTAAAGACACAAGGGAAAGATTAGTCCAAAGGACTAATGGACCATGACTACCACAGCCTCCACCAGACTGAGTCCAGTACAACTAGATGGTGCCCTGCTACTACCATAGACTGCTCTGACAGGGATTACAGTAGAAGTCCCAGACAGAGCTGGAGAAAAATGTACAACAAATTCTAACTCACAAAAAAAAGACTAGTCTTACTGGCCTGACAGAGACTGGAGAAACCCTGCGCATATGGCCCCTGGACACCCTTTTAGCTCAGTAATGAAGTTACTCCTGAGGTTCACCCTTCAGCCAAAGATTAGATGGGCCCATAAAACAAAATGAGACTAAAGGGGCACACCAGCCCAGGGACAAGGACTAGAAAGTAGGAGGAGACAGGAAAGCTAGTAATATGGAACCCCAGGTCAAGAAGGGAGAGTGTTGACATGTCATGGGGTTATTAACCAATGTTATAAAACAATATGTGTACTAACTGTTTAATGAGAAGCTAGTTTGTCTTGTAAACCTTCATCTAAAGTAAAATAAAAAAATAAACTTCCTTCTTGATTTAAAAAAAAAAAAAAGATCAAAATGGATGTCAGAAGAGACTCTCAAACTTCCTCTTGAACATAGAGTAGCTAAAGCAAATGGAAGAAATGATGAAGTAAAAGAACTGAACAGAAGATTTCAAAGGGCGGCTCGAGAAGACAAAGTAAAGTATTACAACGAAATGCATGAAGACCTGGAGTTAGAAAACCAAAAGAGAAGAACATGCTCCGCATTTCTCAAACTGAAAGAACTGAAGAAAAAATTCAAGCCTCGAGTTGCAATACTGGGCAAAATGTTGAACGATGCAGGAAGCATCATAAGAAGATGGAAGGAGTACATAGAATCACTGTACAAAAAAGAATTGGTCGACATTCAGCCATTTCAAGAGGTAGTATATGATCAAGAACCAATGGTATTGACAGAAGAAGTCCAAGCTGCGCTGTCAAAAAAACAAGGCCCCAGGAATTGACAGAATACCAATGGAGATGTTTCAACAAACAGATACAGCACTAGAGGTGCTCACTGATCTATGCAAAGAAATTTGGGAGACAGCTAGCTGGCCAACCAACTGGAAGAGATCCATATTTGTGTCCATTCCAAGGAAAGGTGATCCAACAGAATGCAGAAATTATCAAACAGTATCATTAATATCACATGCAAGTAAAATCTTGCTGAAGATAACTCAAAAACAGTTGTATCAGTACATCAACAGGGAGCTGCCAGAAATTCAAGCCAGATTCAGAAGAGGGTATGGAACAAGGGATGTCATTGCTGATGTCAGATGAATCTTAACTGAAAGCAGAGAATACCAGAAAGATGGTTACCTGTGTTTTATTGACTATGTATTGTGGATCATAATAAATTTTGGATAACATTGCAAAGAATGGGAATTCCAGAACACTTAATTGTACTCATGCAGAACCTATACATAGACCAAGAGGCAGTTGTTTGAACAGAACAAGGGGATACTGCATGTTTTAAAATCAGGAAAGGTATGTGTCCAGGTTATATCCATTTACCATATTTATTCAGTCTGTATGCTGAGTGTCATAATTATCTAGTGCTGTTATAACAGAAATACCACAAGTGAATGGCTTCAACAAACAGAAATTTATTCTCTCACAGTCTAGTAAGCTAGAAGTCCAAATTCAGGGCATCAGCTCCAGGGGAAGGTTTTTTTCTCTCTCTGTCAGCTCTGGAGGAAGATCGTTGTCATCAGTCTTACCCTGGACTAGGAACTTCTCAGTGCAGGGACCTCGGGTCCAAAGGATACGCTGTTCTCCTGGCACTACTTTCTTGGTGGTATAAGATCCCCATGTCTGTCTGCTCACTTCTCTCTTTTCTATCTCAAAAGAAATTGTCTTAAGACACAACATAATCTTGTAGATTGAGTCCTGCCTCATTAACATAACTACCGCTAATCCCATCTCATTAACATCATAGAGGTAGGATTTACAACATATAGGAAAATCAAATCAGATGACAAAATGGTGGACAGTCATACAGTACTGGTAATCATGGCCTAGCCAAGTTGACAGATACTTTTGGGAGACACAATTCAGTCCATGACAGTGAGCAAATAATGCAAGAACCTGGACTATCTGAAGAAGAACGCAGCATCAGGATTGAAGGAAGACTCATTAACAACCTACGATATGCAGATGACATAACCTTGCTTTTTGACACCGAAGAGGACTTGAAGCACTTACTGATGAAGATCAAAGACTACAGCCTTCAGTATGGGTTACACCTCAACATAAAGAATACAAAAATCCACACAACTGGACCAATAAAGAACATCATGATAAAGGGAGAAAAGATTGAAGTTGTCAAGGATTTCATTTTACTTGGATCCACAGTCAACATCCATGGAAGCAGCAGTCAAGAAATGAAACAACATATTGCATC